CTCAACACAAGCAGTGCTGGAGGACTGACCCACCCTCCGTGTCTGTTACTCAACACAAGCAGTGCTGGAGGACTGACCCACCCTCCGTGTCTGTTACTCAACACAAGCAGTGCTGGAGGACTGACTCTCCCTCCGTGTCTGTTTCTCAACACAAGCAGTGCTGGAGGACTGACTCTCCCTCCGTGTCTGTTTCTCAACACAAGCAGTGCTGGAGGACTGACCCTCCCTCCGTGTCTGTTACTCAACACAAGCAGTGCTGGAGGACTGACTCTCCCTCCGTGTCTGTTACTCAACACAAGCAGTGCTGGAGGACTGACTCTCCCTCCGTGTCTGTTACTCAACACAAGCAGTGCTGGAGGACTGACTCTCCCTCCGTGTCTGTTTCTCAACACAAGCAGTGCTGGAGGACTGACCCACCCTCCGTGTCTGTTACTCAACACAAGCAGTGCTGGAGGACTGACCCACCCTCCGTGTCTGTTACTCAACACAAGCAGTGCTGGAGGACTGACCCACCCTCCGTGTCTGTTACTCAACACAAGCAGTGCTGGAGGACTGACTCTCCCTCCGTGTCTGTTACTCAACACAAGCAGTGCTGGAGGACTGACTCTCCCTCCGTGTCTGTTACTCAACACAAGCAGTGCTGGAGGACTGACTCTCCCTCCGTGTCTGTTACTCAACACAAGCAGTGCTGGAGGACTGACCCACCCTCCGTGTCTGTTACTCAACACAAGCAGTGCTGGAGGACTGACTCTCCCTCCGTGTCTGTTACTCAACACAAGCAGTGCTGGAGGACTGACCCACCCTCCGTGTCTGTTACTCAACACAAGCAGTGCTGGAGGACTGACCCACCCTCCGTGTCTGTTACTCAACACAAGCAGTGCTGGAGGACTGACCCACCCTCCGTGTCTGTTACTCAACACAAGCAGTGCTGGAGGACTGACTCTCCCTCCGTGTCTGTTACTCAACACAAGCAGTGCTGGAGGACTGACCCTCCCTCCGTGTCTGTTACTCAACACAAGCAGTGCTGGAGGACTGACCCACCCTCCGTGTCTGTTACTCAACACAAGCAGTGCTGGAGGACTGACCCACCCTCCGTGTCTGTTACTCAACACAAGCAGTGCTGGAGGACTGACTCTCCCTCCGTGTCTGTTACTCAACACAAGCAGTGCTGGAGGACTGACCCTCCCTCCGTGTCTGTTACTCAACACAAGCAGTGCTGGAGGACTGACCCACCCTCCGTGTCTGTTACTCAACACAAGCAGTGCTGGAGGACTGACCCACCCTCCGTGTCTGTTACTCAACACAAGCAGTGCTGGAGGACTGACCCACCCTCCGTGTCTGTTACTCAACACAAGCAGTGCTGGAGGACTGACCCACCCTCCGTGTCTGTTACTCAACACAAGCAGTGCTGGAGGACTGACCCACCCTCCGTGTCTGTTACTCAACACAAGCAGTGCTGGAGGACTGACTCTCCCTCCGTGTCTGTTACTCAACACAAGCAGTGCTGGAGGACTGACTCTCCCTCCGTGTCTGTTACTCAACACAAGCAGTGCTGGAGGACTGACCCTCCCTCCGTGTCTGTTACTCAACACAAGCAGTGCTGGAGGACTGACCCACCCTCCGTGTCTGTTACTCAACACAAGCAGTGCTGGAGGACTGACCCACCCTCCGTGTCTGTTACTCAACACAAGCAGTGCTGGAGGACTGACCCACCCTCCGTGTCTGTTACTCAACACAAGCAGTGCTGGAGGACTGACCCACCCTCCGTGTCTGTTACTCAACACAAGCAGTGCTGGAGGACTGACCCACCCTCCGTGTCTGTTACTCAACACAAGCAGTGCTGGAGGACTGACTCTCCCTCCGTGTCTGTTACTCAACACAAGCAGTGCTGGAGGACTGACCCACCCTCCGTGTCTGTTACTCAACACAAGCAGTGCTGGAGGACTGACCCTCCCTCCGTGTCTGTTACTCAACACAAGCAGTGCTGGAGGACTGACCCACCCTCCGTGTCTGTTACTCAACACAAGCAGTGCTGGAGGACTGACCCACCCTCCGTGTCTGTTACTCAACACAAGCAGTGCTGGAGGACTGACCCACCCTCCGTGTCTGTTACTCAACACAAGCAGTGCTGGAGGACTGACTCTCCCTCCGTGTCTGTTACTCAACACAAACAGTGCTGGAGGACTGACTCTCCCTCCGTGTCTGTTACTCAACACAAGCAGTGCTGGAGGACTGACTCTCCCTCCGTGTCTGTTACTCAACACAAGCAGTGCTGGAGGACTGACTCTCCCTCCGTGTCTGTTACTCAACACAAACAGTGCTGGAGGACTGACTCTCCCTCCGTGTCTGTTACTCAACACAAGCAGTGCTGGAGGACTGACCCTCCCTCCGTGTCTGTTACTCAACACAAGCAGTGCTGGAGGACTGACCCACCCTCCGTGTCTGTTACTCAACACAAGCAGTGCTGGAGGACTGACTCTCCCTCCGTGTCTGTTACTCAACACAAGCAGTGCTGGAGGACTGACTCTCCCTCCGTGTCTGTTACTCAACACAAGCAGTGCTGGAGGACTGACTCTCCCTCCGTGTCTGTTACTCAACACAAGCAGTGCTGGAGGACTGACCCTCCCTCCGTGTCTGTTACTCAACACAAGCAGTGCTGGAGGACTGACCCTCCCTCCGTGTCTGTTACTCAACACAAGCAGTGCTGGAGGACTGACCCTCCCTCCGTGTCTGTTACTCAACACAAGCAGTGCTGGAGGACTGACCCACCCTCCGTGTCTGTTACTCAACACAAACAGTGCTGGAGGACTGACTCTCCCTCCGTGTCTGTTACTCAACACAAGCAGTGCTGGAGGACTGACCCACCCTCCGTGTCTGTTACTCAACACAAGCAGTGCTGGAGGACTGACTCTCCCTCCGTGTCTGTTACTCAACACAAGCAGTGCTGGAGGACTGACCCACCCTCCGTGTCTGTTACTCAACACAAGCAGTGCTGGAGGACTGACCCACCCTCCGTGTCTGTTACTCAACACAAGCAGTGCTGGAGGACTGACCCACCCTCCGTGTCTGTTACTCAACACAAGCAGTGCTGGAGGACTGACCCACCCTCCGTGTCTGTTACTCAACACAAGCAGTGCTGGAGGACTGACTCTCCCTCCGTGTCTGTTACTCAACACAAGCAGTGCTGGAGGACTGACCCACCCTCCGTGTCTGTTACTCAACACAAGCAGTGCTGGAGGACTGACTCTCCCTCCGTGTCTGTTACTCAACACAAGCAGTGCTGGAGGACTGACCCTCCCTCCGTGTCTGTTACTCAACACAAGCAGTGCTGGAGGACTGACCCACCCTCCGTGTCTGTTACTCAACACAAGCAGTGCTGGAGGACTGACCCTCCCTCCGTGTCTGTTACTCAACACAAGCAGTGCTGGAGGACTGACTCTCCCTCCGTGTCTGTTACTCAACACAAGCAGTGCTGGAGGACTGACTCTCCCTCCGTGTCTGTTACTCAACACAAGCAGTGCTGGAGGACTGACTCTCCCTCCGTGTCTGTTACTCAACACAAGCAGTGCTGGAGGACTGACTCTCCCTCCGTGTCTGTTACTCAACACAAGCAGTGCTGGAGGACTGACCCTCCCTCCGTGTCTGTTACTCAACACAAGCAGTGCTGGAGGACTGACCCTCCCTCCGTGTCTGTTACTCAACACAAGCAGTGCTGGAGGACTGACCCTCCCTCCGTGTCTGTTACTCAACACAAGCAGTGCTGGAGGACTGACCCACCCTCCGTGTCTGTTACTCAACACAAGCAGTGCTGGAGGACTGACTCTCCCTCCGTGTCTGTTACTCAACACAAGCAGTGCTGGAGGACTGACCCACCCTCCGTGTCTGTTACTCAACACAAGCAGTGCTGGAGGACTGACTCTCCCTCCGTGTCTGTTACTCAACACAAGCAGTGCTGGAGGACTGACTCTCCCTCCGTGTCTGTTACTCAACACAAGCAGTGCTGGAGGACTGACCCACCCTCCGTGTCTGTTACTCAACACAAGCAGTGCTGGAGGACTGACTCTCCCTCCGTGTCTGTTACTCAACACAAGCAGTGCTGGAGGACTGACTCTCCCTCCGTCTAACCTAAACTTACTCCCAGCATTTTAGTCGCCTTCTACGACACTTATTGCTTACCGGAGAAGGATTCTAACTCACTTCCCCGTGGAACTGGAAGTATACAACACAAGGGACAAGAACAAATAAGAAACTCAGATGAAAGTGTATACACACACATCTACACGTATATGTATATATATATATATATATATATATATATATATATATATATATATATATATATATATTATATAATGATATAAGCACAATATGTACAAGCAATGTTAACTTGGGCAGCTGCAGATGTTCCACAGATCACATTTATAATAATAATGATAATAATAATTACCTTTATTTCTACATGTACAAGGTATACAGGTCTAGCTGACATCAATGACATACTACTATATAGAAAACCACTTGTTATTCTGAGCATTTCCTGCAAATTAAGTCAGTTTTGTCCCAGGATGCGACCCACACCAGTCCACTAACACCCAGGTACCTATTTTACTGACGGTGAATATGGACAGCAGGTGTCTTAAGGAAACACCCTCTAATGTTTCCACCCGTACCGGGGATCGACCCCGGGACATCGATGTGTGAGCTAAGTGCACTGGCAATCGAGCTGCGGGAAACCCAGACAGAAGACAAGAGTCGAACACATAGTAACGCTGCTCCATATGTATGATCAGTTTTCAGATGATATCAATAACCTTATTATTATTTAAGTATTTAATAATCACAGTTCGTGTTTGTATTATCTACTGCGTGTCAAGGCTGGGCACTAGCATCACGGGCTGCCGAGGCTGTGACCCTCCAGGTAGCACTCAGGTACACTCAACTCTGGCCGCTAACAACACTTGCTAATATTTTTACCATGTCTCTGGTAACCTCCTTCACACTTAGTCATTTCTCTTAATCATTAATTCTCTTGTCATCACCTATATTACAAATATTCATAAGAGCATCGCCTCTGTGCCATCCTGACACAGCTGGAATGTAGTATTTACTAGAGGAGGTGAAGCAGGAGCATCAGGCAACAAGCGCCGACGTTAGTAACTCCCAGACACCAGAGGAGAGAAGATATTATCAACATTACTCTGTAAGTAACCGCAAACATTCTTTATATTATTAAAATATTATTGTGTTTAGTTCGTCAGGAAAATATTTCTTAATGGGTGTCTCTATCAGATAATGACGTATTAAGTAGAGAAGCATCAACTAGCCTACCCAACATCTTAAAAAATTATGCACTATATCCGTGACATTGTAAATAAAGTCTTGCCATTTGTAGCGCAGGAATAACTTTCTATGTTCGCACACTGCGGCTGCGCTCTTCTGCTGAGTTAAATTATTATCCTGGGTAGCGCTAAACCCATAGGGAATGTGCAGCTCCTGTAGGAGGGGTGAAAGGTATTCAGGGAAGTGGACTACAGTTCCAAATCCCTAGATCGAGAGCCCTTCACCAGCATCCGGTCTCAGCACCCCTCCCTTGAGGGTGCTGAGAGCAAGCCAGGTTGTGTTAGCTGTGACTATCACATAGATAACAGTTATCTTGCTATATGTGAGTTTGTAAATATGTTACATATATCAAGGTCGCCACACAGTGTGGTGTATCAAGGTCGCTACAGTGTGGTGTACCAAGGTCACCACAGTGTGGTGTATCAAGGTCACCACAGTGTGGCGTATCAAGGTCACCACACAGTGTGGTGTACCAAGGTCACCACACAGTGTGGTGTATCAAGGTCGCCACACAGTGTGGTTTATCAAGGTCGCTACACAGTGTGATGTATCAAGGTCACCACACAGTGTGGTGTATCAAGGTCGCTACACAGTGTGGTTTATCAAGGTCACCACACTGTGTGGTGCATCAAGGTCGCCACACAGTGTGGTGTATCAAGGTCGCCACACAGTGTGGTGTGTCAAGGTCACCACACAGTGTGGTGTATCAAGGTCACTACACAGTGTGATGTATCAAGGTCACCACAGTGTGGTGTATCAAGGTCACCACACAGTGTGGTGTATCAAGGTCACTACACAGTGTGGTGTATCAAGGTCGCTACACAGTGCGCTGTATCAAGATCACCACACAGTGTGGTGTATCAAGGTCACTACACAGTGTGATGTATCAAGGTCGCCACACAGTGTGATGTATCAAGGTCACCACACAGTGGTGTATCAAGGTCACTACACAGTGATGTATCAAGGTCGCCACACAGTGTGATGTATCAAGGTCACCACACAGTGTGGTGTATCAAGGTCACTACACAGTGTGGTGTATCATGGTCGCTACACAGTGCGCTGTATCAAGGTCACCACACAGTGTGGTGTATCAGGGTCGCTACACAGTGCGGTGTATCAAGGTCACCTCACAGTGTGGTGTATCATGGTCGCCACACAATGTGGTGTATCAGGGTCGCTACACAGTGTGGTGTATCAAGGTCGCTACACAGTGGTGTATCAAGGTCGTTACAGTGTGGTGTATCAAGGTCACCACACAGTGTGGTGTATCAAGGTCGCCACATAGTGTGGTGTATCAAGGTCACTACAGTGTGGTGTATCAAGGTCGCCACACAATGTGGTGTACCAAGGTCACCACACAATGTGGTGTATCAAGGTCACCACAAAGTGTGGTGTATCAAGGTCGCTACACAGTGCGCTCTATCAAGGTCGCTACACAGTGTGGTGTACCAAGGTCGCCACACAGTGCGGTACATCAAGGTCGCTACACAGTGTGGTGTATCAAGGTCGCTACACAGTGTGGTGTATCAAGGTCGCCACACAATGTGGTGTATCAAGGTCGCTACACAGTGGTGTATCAAGGTCGCCACACAATGTGGTGTATCAAGGTCGTTACAGTGTGGTGTATCAAGGTCACCACACAGTGTGGTTTATCAAGGTCGCCACACAGTGTGGTGTATCAAGGTCGCTACACAGTGTGGTGTATCAAGGTCACTGCACAGTGTGGTGTATCAGGGTCGCTACAGTGTGGTGTATCAAGGTCGCTACACAGTGTGGTGTATCAAGGTCACTACACAGTGTGGTATATCAAGGTCGCTACACAGTGTGGTGTATCAGGGTCGCTACACAGTGTGGTGTATCAAGGTCGCTACACAGTATGGTGTATCAGGGTCGCTACACAGTGTGGTGTCTCAAGGTCGCTACACAGTGTGGTGTATCAAGGTCGCTACACAGTGTGGTGTATCAAGGTCGCTACACAGTGTGGTGTATCAAGGTCGCTACACAGTGTGGTGTATCAAGGTCACCATACAGTGTGGTGTATCAAGGTCACCACACAGTTTGGTGTATGAAGGTCGCTACACAGTGTGGTGTATCAAGGTCACCATACAGTGTGGTGTATCAAGGTCACCACACAGTTTGGTGTATGAAGGTCGCTACACAGTGTGGTGTATCAAGGTCGCTACACAGTGTGGTGTATCAAGGTGTTTGTCACTGCCTGAGTCCAGGAAGGTATCCCTCGTATACCATAGCCCGTACCTCAACCCAAAGAACTGTAGATTAATGTTTTCAAAAGGCCCAGGAGCTGTAGATCAATACCTGTAAGAGAACCAGGAACAGGATATTATAAGTTTAGAAACACTCGGCAAAAATCCAAACAACATGATAATCAGGGAAGTAACGAGACTACACTCAGCCTTGACTGACTCAGTCATGCTGAGTTTCCCTGTACAGGAACTTTTCAAGATCAACGCCCCCGTGGCCAGGTCTCTTGATATCTCGCAAAATATCAATTTTCACAGGAAGTTATTTAATCCATAGTATAAATAGACTGTAGGTAAAGTAGAATGTACGCCATTGCAGTAGTTGGTAACTTCTGAATCTAAATTTTGTAACAAACATACACACACACACACACCACACACACACACACACACACACACACACACACACACACACACACACACACACACACACACACACACACACACACATATATATATATATATATATATATATATATATATATATATATATATATATATATATATATATATATATATATATATATATATATATATTTTACACAGGGTTTGACAAGGTTAAGGATTCCTAACTTTATTGACAAGCTATTTACAAGTTAAGGATTCCTAACTTTATTGGCAAGCTAAGAGCTGTTACCTACATCAGCTCATTTGAAAGCATTTTTATTGTTATGAGACATACAAGTAGGGAACAGGATGAAGTTGGAGCCATCTGTGGGCCAGCATTTTCATTTGATCAACTAACTTTATCTCGTTGACATCATTATGCTGTACGAATGTGTTCCATACTCGAGTCATCCTGGGTATGTATGATCTCAGATGGAGTGATGTTCTGGAGAAGGGTACAGCCAGAGTGAAGTTGCTGCTTTCTGCCCGTCTTGTGGCATAAAAGCTTGTTTCACACTGCCCTCGAAGTGGATCCAAGTATGGTACTTTGACAATATTGGCCTTGTACATAACAGTAAGGCCACCCACATCCCTCCTGTGTTGAAGGCTCTGCTGAAATGACAGATCTATCTAGGATTGGTCCAGGCGAGAGATGAGACGTCTTGCTCTGTTCTCTACTCTGTCAAGCAGTCGCAGATGAGAGGGGGGCAGGTAAACCAAGAAAGTGGAGCATACTCAAGGTGTGAGCGTGCTTGTGCCTCGTACAGAATCTTGCAAACCCTACTGTCAAGCAGATGCGAGCCTCGGCGAAGTGCTGTAAGCTTCCTGGGTGCCTTGTTTGCAAGATTTACAACGTGGTTCTTCATGGTCAGTTTGAAATCAAATTTCACCCCAAGGATATCAACTTCTTCTCCAGGTGCCAACACCCTCCCATTCATCCTTACTACTGCTCCAGCATTACCATCATGGTGTCTAGATACCATTTTCGTTTTCTCAGATGCAAATGTTACCTGCCATCTATTTCCCCAAGCTGATATAGCTCTTAGCTGGTGATTGATGTAGCTTAGAGCAGCTGGCATTTCTTCTCTTGGATAAGTGAATGTCAGTGTACAGTCGTCTGCATATGCATGTGATTCTGGGATGAGATGAAGAAGGTCGTTGAAGTAGACATTCCATAACAATGGTCCCAGTACGCTTCCTTGTGGAACACTTGCCCCAATAGGATGTCTTGCTGATTCCGTTCCATTGAGAACTACACTTAGAGATTTACCATGAAGGTAATCACTGAGGAGACATAGCGTAGAGCCTGCAATTCCCAGTGCTTGAAGTTTTGCTAAAAGGCCCTGGTGCCACACCCGGTCGAAAGCACCAGCAATATATATATTATATATATATATATATATATATATATATATATATATATATATATATATATATATATATATATATTATATATATATATATATATATATATATATATATATCATGTGTGTGTGTGTGTGTTTGTGTCTGTGAGTGTATACAATATAAACTGATTATTGTATTATTGTAACAGAGAGAGTAACCTACCATTGAGAAGGCTTACCATGGCTGGTGATTTAGAGAAGACAGAGTTGGTGATGCTGACTCCTGGTGACTTCGAGGAAGTGGCTCAGCTGATTGAACGTCATTTTCTCAAGAGAAACCCTCTTGTAAGTCTCCTCTTGATTTTCTAATATAATTTCTTCTAATGTTCACTCTACAGTTATATATGTAAAACATTAAATATTCCCATGACAAAGCTTTTAAAAACTTAGTTGTCTCATATTAAAAACTTCTATATTAAGCAATTACTTCAAGTGAGCTTCATTTAAACGTTTTACAGAATATTGCAGCCAATGAAACATCTGCGGAATGCTTCGGGGATTCCTTTGGCTTAGGAATTAAATCATCTTTGGAGTCCGGGTTTTGTGTGGGCGCCCGGGAGAAGACCACCAAGAAAATGGTGGGTCTGAAACTAGCCAGTGTGGGAAGAGTGGATCAACTATGTACACGAGATACAGAAAGATTGGTAATGAGATTGAGGGACATTTTAAACAATTTACTGGTTTAAAAAGATACGTGAGTAAAAACTAGGACATATTTATTAAAAAATGTTTCTCTCTAGGGACTTTGATCACTTCGATCAAGGTCCTAGTTTTTTCTCCCGTTTTTTTTTAAACCATTTTGTCGCTATCTATTACCAGGGTTTATATACCAAACAATTTACCATTTTCTAAACACTTGCTTGTGCCTATAAATTTCTAAAAGACGTCATAAAGATCTCGTATGTAAGACATGTGTCATATATCTTGTGTAAGAGCTCTTCTGTACGATACTGATCAGATAACTTCACTCAGAGAGGGAAGAGTGTTGGGTTTCGTATCTTGGCCATGATTAATGTTGACGCTGAGATGTTCCAACACGTCACTAGCGTCCTGTTTCTACTGTATGTGTGTGTCCATCCTCGCTACTGTGGTCGAGGCCTCGCACGCATGATGGTCCAGGTAAAGACGTGTCAAATGATGATTAACACCGGCATATGCAGTAATAATAACATTTTATTAAGTATGGCTAAGAAGCCACAAGTTATTCTTACATAAATGACGTAAATTATTTTGCTTCACCTGTCAACGAGAGAAAAGTTGCGTTAAGAGACATCAGTCCCCTTTCCCTACTTTCCCTACTTTCCCTACTTTCCCTACTTTCCCTACTTTCCCTACTTTCCCTACTTTCGTAAGGTGAAGTCCAGGATCTTTCCTTAATTCAAATAATTTATTAAGTTATACCATGAATTAAGTAAAGATCCTGGACTTCACCTTACGAAAGTTCAGTTCCATAGTCAGTTCCTGACTATGGAACTGAACTTCTCCAGGCCGAGGGACTGACAACCTCAAATTCTACGACTTTAAGGGTGATGGACTGATTACATCGTCTTCACATCTCTACTGTTCCTGCCTACTTTCTGTATTCGACTGAAGAAGCCTACTGTGTAGGCGAAACGTTTCGGAATAAAGTTGTCTAACTGTTGCATATGTGTCTTACCTAACAACCTGTCGGTATTGTATACCATTTTGATGTTCATCTTGTCAGACACTGCAACACGTGGCATCTTGGTACAGAAAACACCTTGGACAAGCTTTTCAAGTGAGAAGGGTTGGATCTGAGAGGGACATGACCTCTCAGTGGCCTCTCACTACTACTACTACTACTACTACTACTACTACTACTACTACTACTACTACTACTACTACCCTGCACCTCTCCTTCCGACAGTATTTAAGTCTCCGCACTGTCGCTCGATCTTCAGATAGTTCCTGACTATGGAACTGAACTTCTCCAGGCCGAGGGACTGACAACCTCAAATTCTACGACTTTAAGGGTGATGGACTGATTACATCGTCTTCACATCTCTACTGTTCCTGCCTACTTTCGTATTCGACTGAAGAAGCCTACTGTGTAGGCGAAACGTTTCGGAATAAAGTTGTCTAACTGTTGCATATGTCTTACCTAACAACCTGTCGGTATTGTATACCATTTTGATGTTCAAGATTCAATTATATTCCTGTCGACCATGGACTTGCTTGATACTACTTTCTCAACTTTTTGAAAATCAATTGGATGGTTAAAATCTCTTACATGAATAAATAGAGCATTGGAATCTTGTCCAGTTCTAATGCTATATTTATGTTGTTTTAATCTTAGTTCGAGACTTTTACAAGTTTGACCGTAATAAACTTTATCGCAAATTTTACAAGGAATCTTATAGACACATCCATCAGCATTTTGGGGGGAATTCTTTATCAAAAGTTTTTTTACTGTATCAAGATTTTTGAATACAACTTTAATATTAAAAGTGTTAAGAAGAGAAGGCATATCAACCAAGTTTTCATGGTAAGGGAGAACCAACATATTTTTATTTGAATAAGGCTGGTTGTCCCTTTTTGGATTGTAAAAAGTATTTCTGGCAACTTTAAAAGATTTATCAATTACATTTCTTGGGTATTTTAAATCATTACCTATTTCATAAATTTTGGACAAGATTCCAATGCTCTATTTATTCATGTAAGAGATTTTAACCATCCAATTGATTTTCAAAAAGTTGAGAAAGTAGTATCAAGCAAGTCCATGGTCGACAGGAATATAATTGAATCTTGTTTCATAAAAAGCAGTTTTGACAATAATATGAATATTTCCTTTGGTTTATATAAATTAGATCCATTTATAATTAATAGAATTTGGGAAGAATTTAATAATACACTGGACAAATAATCTTTAAAATTTCTTATTTCTTGGGTAGAATAGTTTGTGGGGTGAGTTGTGCCAAGGACCTTTCCAAGTTGGCTCGCCGCGCGTCACGTGTTTAAACCGTTGTGGGATCTGATATTGAGGTGCCGACCAGACCCCTTATATAGCTTCCTTGGATGCTTTACTTTCATAGTTCCTTGATAATGTGAGTAGTCACGAAAGCGCTTGGAATTTCTCTATTCTTTCAGAGTGGTTGTTTTGCATATTCTGAAATCACCTGTTTACTGTGATCTTATTGCATATATATATATATATATATATATATATATATATATATATATATATATATATATATATATATTATATATATATATATATATATATATATATATAATAATACTGATTATTGCAAGAGAGAGAGTGAAGTAGCACTTAGACTTACCATGGCTGGTGTTACAGAGAACATAGGGTTGACTCTGGTGGCTTCGAGAAAGTGGCTCAGCTGATGGAACGTCACTTTCTCAAGAGGAACCCTCTTGCAAGTCGACTCTTGATTTTCCAACTTAAACTCTGAAGCCTTTTCTCAGAGTATTGCACCACTATAGTTCAAATTTTAAGCATATATTCAGATTTAAAACAAATCTTTCCATGACAAAAAAAAAAATCTTTATTTAACTTTTATTTCAACTCTCTCGATCTAAAATGTAAATAAAACTTTCACAGCGCACAGCGGCCAGAGAAACACAAGCAGCATCTTATAAGGAAGACAATGAATCAAACATGAAATTAGATTTGAATTCCGGCTGTTGTGTGGGCGTCAGGGAGAAGACGAGGATGCTAGTGGGAGTGAAAACAGACTGCAACGACTGGACGAGGATGCTAGTGGGAGTGAAAACAGACTGCAACGACTGGACGAGGATGCTAGTGGGAGTGAAAACAGACTGCAACGACTGGACGAGGATGCTAGTGGGAGTGAAAACAGACTGCAGCGACTGGACGAGGATGCTAGTGGGAGTGAAAACAGACTGCAATGACTGGATCAGTTACACAAATGATGCAGAGAAAATGATAGGGAAATTATGAGACAGTTTAGACAGTTTTCCAGCTTCTAAATATTTAAAATGTTCTTGAGTTAGTATTACGATACTATAAATTTTTAGATAATTTTTTTTCTGTTTCTGCTGTTGCTACTCTTTCCACTACCAGCATGACTTCTACCACTACTTCTCCACTTCCTTGTTTCTTACTCTGTGTGTCCCGTCCCTCTCCTCCTCTCCTATATACACTCCCTTCCTCGTAATCGTGTGTTAGTGTGACTAGTCGGTGGTCGGTGGTACAAGTCGGACCGAAACGTCGTTGTAAGCTTTTTTTTTCCTATGTGTGGGTTATTTTTATATTCTGTAATCATAAAAACCTTCAGTGGTACATCTGTTGTGTTAAGATAGTGATAAGATAATTTTATTCAGAGCAAGCAGACTCTCGGGGATCGCATCTTGGCCTTGATTGATGCTGATGCCGAGATGTTCCAAGATGTCATATGCTGCCTTTACATACTGCTTGTGTGTGTCCATCCTCACTACGCTGGTCGAGGCCTCGCACACATGATGATCCAGGTAATTAGGTTGCAAACTGTGATTAACACCGGTAAATATTTTAGAAAAATACACATGTGTTAGCTACGACATTTTATTAAGGAGACGGTATGCTATCCTGTGGCTTTATCAGTCCAGTCAACTGATGAAGTTACAGGATACAGACCCAGGAATTGACACCAGATAAACCAAGCCACTGATGTTATCGTATATATGATGTTTCCACAGAAGGTGCTGGAGATGGGTCGTGAGCGGAGATGGGTCGTGAGCGGAGATGGGTCGTGAGCGGAGATGGGTCGTGAGCGGAGATGGGTCGTGAGCGGAGATGGGTCGTGAGCGGAGATGGGTCGTGAGCGGAGATGGGTCGTGAGCGGAGATGGGCGTAGCGAATGGGTCTGAGCGGAGATGGGTCTTGAGCGGAGATGGGTCGTGAGCGGAGATGGGTCTTGAGCGGAGATGGGTCGTGAGCGGAGATGGGTTCGTGAGCGGAAATGGGTCGTGAGCGGAGATGGGTCTTGAGCGGAGATGGGTCGTGAGCGGAGATGGGTCTTGAGCGGAGATGGGTCGTGAGCGGAGATGGGTCGTGAGCGGAGATGGGTCGTGAGCGGAGATGGGTCGTGAGCGGAGATGGGTCGTGAGCGGAGATGGGTCGTGAGCGGAGATGGGTCGTGAGCGGAGATGGGTCTTGAGCGGAGATGGGTCGTGAGCGGAGATGGGTCTTGAGCGGAGATGGGTCTTGAGCGGAGATGGGTCGTGAGCGGAGATGGGTCTTGAGCGGAGATGGGTCGTGAGCGGAGATGGGTCTTGAGCGGAGATGGGTCTTGAGCGGAGATGGGTCGTCAGCGGAGATGGGTCGTGAGCGGAGATGGGTCGTGAGCGGAGATGGGTCGTGAGCGGAGATGGGTCGTGAGCGGAGATGGGTCGTGAGCGGAGATGGGTCGTGAGCGGAGATGGGTCGTGAGCGGAGATGGGTCTTGAGCGGGAGTGGGTCGTGAGCGGAGATGGGTCGTGAGCGGAGATGGGTCGTGAGCGGAGATGGGTCTTGAGCGGAGATGGGTCTTGAGCGGAGATGGGTCGTGAGCGGAGATGGGTCGTGAGCGGAGATGGGTCGTGAGCGGAGATGGGTCTTGAGCGGAGATGGGTCGTGAGCGGAGATGGGTCTTGAGCGGAGATGGGTCGTGAGCGGAGATGGGTCTTGAGCGGAGATGGGTCGTGAGCGGAGATGGGTCTTGAGCGGAGATGGGTCGTGAGCGGAGATGGGTCTTGAGCGGAGATGGGTCGTGAGCGGAGATGGGTCTTGAGCGGAGATGGGTCGTGAGCGGAGATGGGTCTTGAGCGGAGATGGGTCTTGAGCGGAGATGGGTCGTGAGCGGAGATGGGTCGTGAGCGGAAGATGGGTCTTGAGCGGAGATGGGTCGTGAGCGGAGATGGGTCGTGAGCGGAGATGGGTCGTGAGCGGAGATGGGTCGTGAGCGGATATGGGTCTTGAGCGGAGATGGGTCTTGAGCGGAGATAGGTCGTGAGCGGAGATGGGTCGTGAGCGGAGATGGGTCTTGAGCGGAGATGGGTCGTGAGCGGGAGATGGGTCTTGAGCGAAGATGGGTCGTGAGCGGAGATGGGTCGTGAGCGGAGATGGGTCTTGAGCGGAGATGGGTCTTGAGCGGAGATGGGTCGTGAGCGGAGATGGGTCTTGAGCGGAGATGGGTCGTGAGCGGAGATGGGTCGTGAGCGGAGATGGGTTCGTGAGCGGAGATGGGTCGTGAGCGGAGATGGGTCTTGAGCGGAGATGGGTCTTGAGCGGAGATGGGTCGTGAGCGGAGATGGGTCTTGAGCGGAGATGGGTCGTGAGCGGAGATGGGTCGTGAGCGGAGATGGGTCTTGAGCGGAGATGGGTCTTGAGCGGAGATGGGTCGTGAGCGGAGATGGGTCGTGAGCGGAGATGGGTCTTGAGCGGAGATGGGTCGTGAGCAGAGATGGGTCTTGAGCGGAGATGGGTCGTGAGCGGA